GCTGCTGGGTAGGGCTCTGAGCTGGCAGTTCCTGGCCTGCTTCTTCCCGCGGAGTTCAGTGCTGGCCCCTCGCAGCCCGACACTGCTCTCCCCACTCCGGAGATGCTCTCTCCCTGGCCAGCACAGCAGGTCTGCGGTTTCCCAACGCTCCTGCTGCACTCGCTCGTTTGCTGATGGACCCTAGCAGCCCGATGGCACGCTTGCCATACTTTTGTGATGCTCCCTAGCAGCCTGACACGCCGCTCTCTTTAACATGCGACCATGTAAAAAAGCAACAGCTCGTTTGATTTATGATACTTCAGAACAACTAAGATTCAATTGCTCTGCACGTCCCCAGCTCTGATTACCTCCTAAATGAGATAAACTGATGGCAATTTATCCCAGACCTCCCCAACTTTCCCAGGATGCTAACCTGAGACTGGCATCAGCACACGGGGCCAGCATGCCTGGCAGGGGCCGTGGCTGCAGAGCACGTGCACACACTGCCAGGCAGGGAAAGGGGCAGGATGGGGCAGGGGCCCTGACACTAGGACAGCAGTCATGGACGTCTGCCGCTGCCCAGCATGGGAGGGTTGTCTCAGTTCTGGCAAGCGGACTCCAGCGGTCTACATGGGAATATTATTTCCCCTGATGTAAGTGACTTGCTGCAGGCAAAGCCACGGGCACACGGAGCGCCCTGCTTTGCCCTGCAGACCCACGGTGGCAGGTGGGCAGACCTGTCGGAAGCCTCGTGCCTGGGCCTGTCTGACAACAAGCAGCACCTGTGCGGGCAGGCACTGGTGCAGTCTGGGCTGCTGCTGATCCAGGCTGCCGCGGAGAACACAGAGCTGGAATGTGCAACCCCCCAGAGCTGGCAAAACACAGCTTTGGGGGGACGCTCCCCCCTCAACCTCTGGCAAACCCTCCCAGCTCCTTAGCATGGGCGAGAGCCAGCCTCAGTCCTCGCTGAGCAAGGCATCTCTGTCCCTGAAGGCCCAGCCCCCCACCCAGGGGCTCTACGCTCCCAGGGTCACTGTTCCAGGAGGGCCTGGCCATTGAGTGGGAGACCCAGCGCTATGGCTAACAGCAGCGATTCCTGGAGGCCATGACCAGGGCTTACGCCGACCTGTGACGATGAGAGAGGGGGAGGGACCTAATGTGGGGGGGGGCAAATTATCCCCCATTAGCTCCTGTGGAGTTCTTCCACCTGTTGCTGCAGCACCAGGTGCTGGCCACTGGCCGAGGCTGGGCACTGGTCTAGATAGTGCCTATGCAATGCCTCGGAGAACATCAAATGCCAAATTACCCCCAGCATGGCCCATCCTGCGTGTGACAGTCCGGCTGCGAGCTCACTGGCTGGGGCCGCCCCACGCAGTGCTGTGTCCAGCGCTCAGTAGTGTGGAAGGGGGCCTGGCGGGGTGCAGGGAGGAACTTCCCGAGGACGTCTGAGCCTGGGAGGAGGTTCCTGCCTGTCCCAGCCCAGAGGAGGGCTGAGCTGGGCTCCCCCAGAAAGAGCACGTGACTTGGCTGAGGAGGTTTCTGCTGAGTATAGGTGTGACTGAGACATTTCCCAGCCAGGCTACAGAAGCTGCTTCAGACCGAGCAGAGTGGGGCCTACAGCTGTCAGCTACAGGGCTCCTGGTGGCTACGGCTGGACTGCATTGCCCCCCTGGGAGCAAACAGGGCTTCTCCTTAGGGGCAGCCCCAAACAGCACAAACAGCCTGGGGCGGGAAAAGGCTTTGTCCCACACAGAGAACACCGCAGCTCCTCCCTGAGCCCTCATTAACGGGCCTGTCTTCCCCAGCCAAGGGGTGAGATTCCAGGGAGACTAATAGAATTAGCCCAACTTTTCAGTACTTGGCTTCGCATCCTTATTCTCTTTTTAACATAGGAAATTGTATTAGTAAAATAAGTTTTAAAAAAAGCACACTGAGAAAACAAAAATTCCACCACGTGGAACTATACTGACCCCACATGGGTCACCACAGGGTTGGGACCTTTAGATCCACAGCACAGACCTTTGCCACCGCACTAAACTGGGTAACTGGCAGCAGTAGAAAGCTGTTATCCTCTATGGGAACTGATGCTGCAGGAGGATGAGACGCATGCCAGCGAGTTTTGCAACTACTGTTGACAGCAGAGGAATGCTGGGACTCAGAAATCCCGGGTTCAACTCCCGGCTGGGGATGGGAGTGTGGCTAGCGGTTACAGACCATTCTGTCCTGTCTCCCCTAACAAGTTGGATATTCAGAAACACTATTTCCCTAGGAGAGTGGTGAAGCACTGGAATGGGTTCCCTAGGGAGGTGGTGGAATCTCCTTCCTTGGAGGTTTTTAAGGCCCGGCTTGACAAAGCCCTGGCTGGGATGATTTAGTTGGGAATTGGTCCTGCTTTGAGCAGGGGGTTGAACTAGATACCTCCTGAGGTCCCTTCCAACCCTGATATTCTATGATTCTATGTCCCTCCCTGGCCAGCCCATCTCCCTATGCTCCTGCTCCCACAGCCTTACCCCGCCCTCAAGTGTCCCAGCCCCTGCACTGCACTCCCGCTCCTCCGGGCGTCTGCAGCCCGGGCATCAGCAGGGTGAGGGCTGAGCGCACAGGACACGAGTCCCCCATACTCAGAGCTGGCGCCTGGCACCACAGTGGCCTCTGGCAGCCGGGAGGGGCAGTGACAAATGAAGTTTGGTACATGACATTTCACTGGCAAATGAACTTTAAAGGGACAGAGAAATGCACATTGAAGGGGAGCATCGTAACTACTCGTACACCTGACGGATTCTGAGTTAACTCTCAACCCAGGAACGGGACCTGGCCTCACTGTAGACAGCTCAGTGGAGTGGAGGCCTCTGCTGTGATCAAACAAGCTACCGAGATGTTCGGACGCATAAGGAGAGGGGTTAGGGTTAGATTAGATGGATACAATGACATAAATCAATGGTGCAGCACCATCCGGATCCCGTGTGCAGCACCATCTCAAAAAGGGTTTGCAGAACTACCGGGGGCTCAGAGAAGGGAGAGGAGATTGATTGAGGGCCTGGAAAAACTCCTCTATGAAGAAAGATTGAAATAACTGGGATTGTTACAGTACAGAGGAGATGAGTAAGAGGGGACATGATAAAGGTCTATAAAATAAAAACTGGTCTAGACAAGGGAGATCGAGAACTTCTCTTTGCCCTGTCTCCTAACACAGGAACAAGGGGAGACGCCATGCAATTACGTGGGAAGTTCAAAACTGAGGTGTGATGAAGTGGAACTGTTCTTAATGTTTCCTCTGAATACTGTGTGGGTGCCTCAGTTTCCCCAATGCATTTCTTAAGTCTCCAGTGTGCATAAATGGCCGACAATCTATCTCCTAGCAACAAATGTCTGGGGCCCTTTCTGCTGCAAGGAAATAGCTAAAGGTCAACAAAGAGATCAGGAGACCTCCTGGCCCGGGAAAGAGACAAAGGCCAGAAAGGAGGGGCTGGAGGGGGTTTCAGTTTGGAGCTGGCTGGGGACAGGGAGTGAGGGCAGACGGGGTTGTCTGGCTCGCTGGGCCCCAGAATGGACCCGGCTGAGGGATCCTGTTCTCCGTACCTACAAGCTCTGTTTTAGATCATGTTCCTGTCATCGAATAAACCTGTTTCACTGGCTGGCTGAGAGTCACGTCTGACTGCAGAGTTGGGGTGCAGAACCCTCTGGCTTCCCCAAGACCCCGCCTGGGCGGACTCGCTGTGGGAAGCGCACGGAGGGGCATATGCTGAATGCTCCCAGGACAGACCCAGGAGGTGAAGCCGTGTGAGCTTCTTGCCCTGAGGACAGTCTGCTCCATGGGAGAGGAGGCTCCCCAGAGTCCTGACTGGCTTTGTGGGGAGCAGTTCCAGAGCATCGCCCGGGGACTCCATGACATGGGGAAATACTTTTTCACAACAATGCATCCTTAGACAGTGGAACTCCCTGTCCCAGGCAGCTGTTGAGACCAAGACCCTAGCCAGATTCAAAGAGGTGGATGTTTATATGGATATCCAGAATTTCCAGAGTTGTCAGAATTAACGCTAACAATTTTGGAAAGGGATATTACAGCTCATGCTTCAAGGGTCAGAGATTGCTGTAACTACGAGAGATCAGGCTGAGAGCTCGCGTGGAGGAAAACTTATCCCCATCTGCTACTGTGGGATTCTTATACCTTCCTCGGCAGCACCTGATGCTGCCACTGTCACCGGGTCCTGGGCTAGCTGGACCTCCGCTCTGATCTAGTCTGGCCATCCCTACGTTCCTCAGCCCTGCTGAGGCCTGGTCGCTACAGATGGAGACAACAGAGAATTTAGCAGTCGGGGAAGATTTTCACCAGGATAGCAAAGGGCTGCAACCCTGGGCCAGAATTTCCCCTGGCAAATGTCAAGGCCGACTCAAATGGGAGATGCTGGAGCTTCTCAACGCAATAGATATCAGAGCTTTTTAACTCATATGTTCCTGAACGTTTCTCAGAAAGCTTGGCCTGAGGCAGCCAGACACAGTCCCAGAATTAAGGCCAGAAGGCACTACCAGACCATCTCCTGTACATCGCAAAGCCACTAAGCACGACCCAGCACACACCCACTACGCCAGCAACCACAACAGGTCAAAGTACTGCAGCCCTCAAGAGACTAACCTCCTGCGTGCCAACGCCGAGCACGGGAGAGACCAGGGGCACCAGCAATGGCAGGGGATGGAGGGAGTTCGCACTTGGGATGGGAAGTTCCAATCGCTACAGTCAGGCACATTTCTAAGAAAATAGGATCTTACACTGGCAGGAGTCTGGCAGCCTCTCCTCTGGGCCCTCCCAGGTCCGCCGCTGGTGTCAGAAACAAACACACACCCAGAGCAGCAGCTGGCATGGGAGCATGGTCCCTGCTCCCAGCTGCAGGGGAGAAAGCGAGGGCAGACATGCTGGGCTGGAAGGTCATTTCCATCGAAGGGTGGAGAGCTCAGGACCGGGGCTCCCCCAGGTACTACTGGCTGTCTGCGGATGCCCTGGCGGGATGACAGACACTTCCTACCTTCTGCTGCTGTGCTGGGGCCGTCAGGGCGGGCTGTCCCTGTGCTCTTTTTCCTGCGGTGTTTCTTCCTGTTTGCATGAGGGGATGGAGGCGGCTCCAGCTTCGGGCTCGCAGCGTTGGACGTGTTTGGGCTGGAGCTGAGAGCATCTGCGGTGCCATTAGCTATGGAGAGAGAGAGAGACGGCGACGTTTAGAGACCCCAGCACCACCATGCTCAGACCTGCCTGACTCCCTCCCACAGAGACAGCCCAAGATACCCCACCCTGCCCCACAGAGACGCCCCGAACATCCCCGCCTGCTCCTGCCCCACAGAGACGCCCCGAACATCCCCGCCTGCTCCTGTGCCCACACAGACGCCCCGAACATCCCCGCCTGCTCCTGTGCCACACAGAGACGCCCCGAACATCCCCGCCTGCTCCTGCGCCACAGAGACGCCCCGAACATCCCCGCCTGCTCCTGCCCCACAGAGACGCCCCGAACATCCCCGTCTGCTCCTGCCCCACAGAGACGCCCCGAACATCCCCGCCTGCTCCTGCCCCACAGAGACGCCCCGAACATCCGTCTCTGCTC